TACAGTATCAACCAGATAAAATATCTTTATATTTATGATTCCAGTGCGGAATACGTTACTCTATATTCTACATATACCTTGGCGATTACCAGCTACTGTGGTAACCCCACCCCCCCCCCCTCCCCTCACCTCCGAAAAACCCGGGGGGGGGTCACAACCGGTTCTCCCCCCCCCCCCCTCCCCTCTAAACCCGGAGGGAAGGGGGACACTACCGATCGTAACCACAAGCTGTCCCACTGGTACCCACCACTGCTCCCCAGTCCCCACCCCCCTGTCCCCACTGTACCTCTGTTCCCTTGTCCCACCGCCGGCCGTCCTCGCCACCGCCACTACCCCCACCACAACTTTACCCTCCACTGTCCAACCTGTATCCACCACATTCCCACTGTCCCCCACAACCAACCGTCCCCACCACTGTCCCAACTGTCCCAACTGTTCCACCACTGTCCTCACATTGTCCCGCCACACACCACTGTCCCCACCACTACAGTCCCCACCACTGTCCCACTGTCCCCACCACTGTCCCGCTGTCCCCTCACCACTGTCCCCACCACCACCGTCCCCACCACTGTCCGCACCCCCCCTTGGTTTTCGAGGGGGGGGGGGTTCGAACCGGTAGTGACCCCCCCCTGGTTTTCGAGTTCGAGGGAGGGGGGGGTGGGGGGGGTTCGAACCAGTAGTGACCCCCCCCTTTTCATGATGAACTGGGGGGGGGGGGGAGGGGTTCGAACCGGTATTGACGCCCCCGGTTTTCCGGAGGGGGGGGGGGAGGGGTTCGAACCGGTAGTGACCCCCCCCGGTTTTCCGCCAGCAGCGGTAGAACACGCTCTTTCAGATGTCTCGAAGGCGGGCCGAGATGCCCCCAACATGTACCAAGATGGCCTCAAAATCGCCAAGACGGCTCAAGAGGCCTCCAAGACGGCCCAGGAGGCCTCCAAGCTCCCAGGAAGGCCCGCAGAGGTCGAAATCATTGATTTTCCGTTGGCTTCTGCGTTGAATTTGGCGTTGCTCATTTTGGGCTTCGCGACGATCCAAGACGGCAGCTCTTGGGCCCATGAGGCCTCAGAGATGGCCCCCTGACGATCTAAGAGGCCCTCAAGATGGCCCCAAGAGGGCCTCAAGACGGCCCGGGAGACCTCCAAGACGGCCAAGATGGCCCCCAAGACGGCCCTGAAGCGCCCCAAGAGGGCCCAAACTCGGCTCAGAGAAGCCCCCAGAACGGTTTCCGACGGCGTCAGACGAGCCAGGAGCACCCTCATGCGGCCAAAGAGCCTCCCAAGGAGCCTCCAAAGGCCACCAAAAGGCCCAAGGAAGACCCCAAGAAGCCCCAGAGGCCCCCGGGAAGCTTCCAGGAGGCTCCTCTTCCTCCTCCTCCTTCTCCTCCTGCTCGTCCTCCTCCTCCTCCTTATTTTTCCTCCCTCTTCTCCTCTTCTTTTTTCTCCCCCACGTGTTCACCTTCAGACTCCCCAGCAAGGACAGCTGGCACGCGCGCTGCGTCACGACTTTCGATGCTGCGCGTCACTTCGCCAAACTCCCAGGGAGCGGCCGGTGATGCGCCGCCAGCGTCCTCGATAATTCACCAGACATTCGCTGTAGATTCGTCGATGTTTCGCTGGCTACAGGGGGGGGGGGTCCCGCGCGCGCGGGTGGTTCCTGGGCCGCGGGCCCCAAAGCCCGCGATTTCGAGCCATGGGCCCACAACTTCCGGGGTTCTTGGGTCAAGGGCCTCCGACTCTTTGGGCCTTCACTCCAGGGCGCGCTGTCAAGAACCCACGAGACCTGGTCTCCAGAGTCAAGGGCCGACCCTGGAGCCCTGCTGCGAAGGGAGCGGGGATCCATGGACCCCGCGAGGAAGAGCCCACGACTCGTGGCCCTTCACTCAAGGGCCGAGGCCTCCTGGGCTGCACAATCGAAGGCCCTGGAGCCACCAGCCCGAGACTCCTGGGCCATCGAGTCACGGGCCCATGACTCTTAAGCTATTGAATCGAACGCCACCCTGCAATCTAATCCTGGTAACCTGCGCAGTGCGATGGGGCGCTCACTCCGCCCGCGAATCGCTTGTCGATGAATTGCAAGATGGCCCACCGAACACCCGATCGCAACCACTGGGGTCCCATGAGACGCCCCCAAATGCACCGCAGAGTCGCGCAAACATGGCCCTCGCAACCAGAGGGCCCAACTGAGTCGGGGCACGACCAGGCGCTGCGGCATCGCAAGCAACACCCCACAATAACACAAGCAGAAACGCGTGACACCCCGACATCGCCAAGAATAAAACTAAGCCGCCCCGAACACACCAACATTCAACGATTCCGATTCGTCTCTGAAAGCCGGCGGGCCTGAAGGATGTATCGGGCGCGGCGGCCGTTCCAGAGCGCTCTGGAGGGCACTGAGAGCGACATGGAGGCTTCCGATCTTCCAGATCCCCTCGAGAAGAATCGAGAATCCGAATTCTCAGACGTTCTCGGCCCCTGTCGAGGCTCGGGGCGACTTCTCGTCGCCACGGCTGGATCCGCCTCGAAACCGTGGTCGGCCCACACCCCGAAGGGTTTTGTGGAGCTCCGGGGGGTCGAACTTCGAGCCGAGACGACCTCCGCGCGCCGTGAATCGACACAACGACGGGGACCTGTCTCACAAGGTTCACCCCCTAACGGACCCCTGACGGGCACCGGGAACGTAACAAAAAGCACTCGGGAGGAACAAGTCGTTCAAGGGAAGGGGTCGAGACCTCCAGGGGCACGCGTTGCAAAACGAGTCACGACGTCGGGGGTCTGGGTCGAGAAACCAAGATGTCAGCTCGAAAACGAGAAGCGCGGCTCAAGACAGGCACCCGAGTGCACGCGTTGCCCCCTGATTGCTGAGCTGCGCTTTCGTTATCTGGCCTCCTCCCCGTTCGGCATTCCCTCCAGGGGCGCGTCTTGGGTGAGAACCGAAACTCGAAGCGTTGGCGTCATATCAGCAGCGAATGGAGGGAAGGGAGGGAGAAGAAACGAAAGAGGCATCAGAGACCACCAGCCATGCCGCGCGTTATGGTGCAAACCTAGCCGGCGTCGCAGCCAAAGAGTGACCAAACTCAGGGCTTCATCAGCCAGCCCTGCCACCGTGCCCTGTCAGGGCACCGCATCCGGCAGCTTCCGATCCCATCGCCTCTCAGAACGGATGCCACGGATCACAACCCGCAGGAGCTCGACCCCCTCGCCAGGCCCTCTGTCCGGAGGCGACTGGGGAGCTCCACCGAAGCCCCCAACGGGACCGCCCGCATGCGTCCACCATGCCCAATTTGGCATCTTCACCCGCCCAGCACAGCGCTTCGTGGCCCCATAGGGAGCTCCACCGACGCCCCCAGTGGCACCGCCCGCCTGCGTCCCCCACAGGGAGCTCCACCGAAGCCTCCAGCTAGGACGGGGCAGTCGCAGGTCGCAGGCAGCGGCCTGGCGAGGCGGAGGACTCCACGCGCCGAGACGCCCCGACCCCCCCCCGCGCGCCGCGCACGTGCCCGCGCGCCCCGCGGCACTCCGAGCGTCCCGCGCGGGCTCTTCGCGAGCAGCCGAGGCGGCCGCAGCCGCCACGGCTGGCTCGGCGCGTCGCCGCGCGGAGAGCGCACAGCGGGGCGGCGCAGGAGGCGCCGCCCAGCTGTGCGGGGAGGGGGGCCCCAGCGCCAGGAGGACCGCTGGCCGTCGCTTCTCCGTGAAGCGCGCGAGACGAGGTCCCTTGGCCATCCAGCGCCAGACGAGGCTGACGACCCGAGAGGCCGCTTCCCGTCCTGACGATCTCGGCGCTGTCTGCTGACGCCACGCCGGCCGAGGGGCCTTCTGAAAGCTCTCTTGGACCGCTGTGGGGGCGCCTGTGGGGCTTTCCAGGGCAATCCTGGAGACTCCCTTGAGCGTTCCGGGCTCCGCTCGGGCCATCTAGCTTCCCGGAAACTTGCGCCGACGTGAGACAAACTTGGGCCGTGGGGTCCATATTGTCGCGCTTGGAAACTATACTGGGGCTCCAAGCGGTGTGATTGGCCCCTGGCTTCTGTTTCTTCACTGGTGACGCAATGCCCAGACTCCGGCATCCTGAAAAGGGGACGTGGGGGGGGGGGGGGGGGCACAAGTACTTTTTGGCGCACGAGCACGGACCTGCGAGGAGGAGCCACCCCGAGGGGACGGCTCGACGGCGAAAGGGCTAAAAACACAACCTCCAGAAGACCGAAAGGGGCTCCGAGCTGTACGTGAGGGAAGAGGGAGTGCACACGCGCCAGCGGGCCACGCGGAGTGACCACTGGCGGACACGAGATCAACACCAGCGCCTCTGCGCAGATGCGGCACGGGGAGAATAATGCTGAATGCCGAGGCCGCCTCCGATCGTGCCGCATGGGCGATGTGGAAACAATTCGTGAGGAACACCAGAGCATGAATCGGCAGAAGCGCCCCTGCAGATCCCTACGAAGCGCATCGTGAGCTTCTTCCCAATGTTCACCCCGCACGTTGTTGGTGTAGAGAGGCGGACCGAACTCGATGTTATGATGTCATGCCGCCAGGGGGAGGGGCGCCCCATCGGCACCCCTTGATGCCGGTGGCATGGCACTCTCCCTGCCCCACCCTGCCGTGCGTATCTTTGACAGCGCACAGAGGAGGAACACAAAAGAAAACTCATGAGACAGGTCGCCGACCGTCTCGGAGAATCTGCTCCACCTTTGGGGGCCTGGAAATTGGCGCCAACACCAACACAGGGGGTTGCCTCAACCGAGGGAAGTAAATCCTCGATGTCTGTGCTGGTGGGAATTTCTCGGCCGCCCGAGAAGCCCGACCGTTACTACCATCACCGACATCAGGATCATCTTCTCACGGTAGAGGCAACAGCCAATACCTCCAACAACTCCTCCTCCTCCTCCTCCTCCTCCTCCTCCTCCTCCTCCTCCTCCTGGAGGGTGTTGGCACCACCCTCCAGGCCTCCGACAACTGACCTCCCCATCCTCCTCCCGCACCCCTCCGCGCCCGCCCCTCCCAGGAAGCCTTTACCAGCACCGACGCCACCTCCAGACTGCCCTTGTGGCCGGCCACGTGCAGCGGCGTGATGCCATGAGCGGCCTGCGGGGGGGGGGGGGGAATGACTACCTACCAGACCAACCCACCAACCCGAAGACCCGAATTTCGGGTTGGGGGGGGGGGGTTTCCAAATGTGTTTTTTTCGATGTTTCCAGCCCCCCCCCCCCCACTGGAAATCGAGGGAAAATGTGAGCCTTCGGGTTGGGTTGGGGTGGTTTGGTGGGTGGTGAGGGAAGGGCGAACGAGCGAAGCGAAGCGAACGCCAGAGTCGCGCGCGCGCTCCTCTGGGGGAGCCCGCCCGTGCCCGCTTGGTTGGGAGGACGCGGCCTCGAGAGTGTGCTGCGCAGGCGGACTCGCGTGGCGACCACAGTTCGGTGTTCCCGGCCCCGGGGAGAAGGGTGCGGGGAGCTCATGGCCCACAGTAGAGCGGGGAGAAGGGTGCGGGGAGCTCATGGTCCCGGGGAGAAGGGTGCGGGGAGCTCATGGCCCAATGGTAGAGCGCAGGCATAGGAACGCAGGGGAGCCCGAAGCACGCCGCCCCGCCTGGGCTCTGAAGAGAAGGAACGCCTGGGCGTATTAAGAAACTCGGTCGCCGGACTGGCCCACGGTGGGCTGCACGGACGGCCTGCAGAAGCCCGGACCGCCTCCTGAAGCGGTTATCTCTGGGATGCTGCTGCCATCTACTGACGCCAGCCTAGCGCCTTACGCCACCTTCTGACGAGGGCGAGACGTAATACATCTTGAGCGCCCGATGCATGAAGCTCAACTCCCCGGCAAGGTCTCACCACGACAATGGACCCCATCGTAGGCTGCCCTGCCGCGGTAAGACCTTGCCCGGGAGGTAGGCTTCCAGGATGGAGGTCGAACCAGCTACCCTCGTTAACATGAACCTCAAAAACGCATTACGTGCGAAATACTCGTTGGCGCCCACTCCCACCTGTCTGTCGTCACGGCATGTCCGAGTCGCGCCGGCACAGACCGCGCTTCGGTCTGCATCGACATTGAAGGAGGCGAGATCAAAGAGCCGAATGGAAGCGACATGGAAGGGGCGCACCGACAGTCTATGAACTTACTTTTGTCGAGGGTTGCAGGTTCGACCTCCATTCGGGGGGCGTTTTCCCTGCAGTCTGGAAGTCTCCGCTTCTCCAGAAATGCTGGACGTCGTCAGTCATCCGCCTAACCCGATCCTGGGCCCAGGACCAGCCCAGGCCAGGATGGGCGCTGCGGATGGCTGAGCGTCCTCCGAAAACAGAGGCGCCGAGGACCGACGAAGACGCCCGAGGCCGAGGACGAAGGTCTTTCGAGTCATGGCGGCCATGGCACGGCCGACGAGCAACCAAACGAACACAGAAAAACGCGGCTGGCCGGCGGGCCCCGCCTTCGCGAGCGGCGACGCGCCGAGGTCCAGCAGCAGGCGGGCCGCCTTCGCCGCCGCCGCCGACGTCGACGACGTCCTCGTCCTCGTCCTCGTCCTCGTCCTCGTCCTCGTCCTCGTCCTCGTGATCGTCGTCGTCGTCGTCGTCGTCGTCGTCGTCGTCCGTCGTCGTCGTCGTCGTCGTCGTCGTCGTCGTCGTCGTCGTCGTCGTCGTCGTCGTCCGTCGCCATCGTCGTCGTCGTCGGTCGTCGTGATCGTCGCCGTCGTCGTGATCGTCGCCGTGATCGTGATCGTCGCCGTGATCGTTGCCCTGGACCAACCAACTTCGCGCACCGCGCCCCACGACGCGCGATCACCTCGGCGCCCTCGTGCCCTGCCCGCCGCCTCTTTGGAGAAGGACAGCCGCCCTGGCCCAGACGGCGACGCGCGAAGCGCCGTTGCCCTTGCGCCCCTGCGGGGAACCCGGTCTCGGCAGGACGTCTTGCCATCGCCGGCTGCACCTCCACAGCTCTGGCACTGGCAAAGAGGGGCCTGCCAGTACGACTCAGACAGTACTCCGCTCGGGAGTTAGTCGGAGCCCTCTGAAACAGGAAGAATGCGGTCCTCACCCTCCTCCTCCTTTTCCTCCTCCTCCTCCTCCTCCTCCTCCCTGTGCAGCCTGGAACGTACCAAGGACAGTTGGTCCAGGGTCACTGCCTGGGCCTCTGGGTGAGGGGGCCCTCCTTGGTCGATTTGAAGACGGTTCTTTAAGGATTTCTTCTCGCATGTTCGGCTTTCCGACGCTCCAAGACGGCTCGAGAAGCTCCCAAGACCACCCCAAGACAGGCCAAGAGGCCCCCAAGAGGGCCCCAAGATGGCCCAAGAGGGCTCCAAGATGGCCCAAGAAGCGCTCAAGACGGCCCAAGAGGGCCCCAAAACGGCCCCAAGAGGGGCCAAAGCCCCACAAGGCAGGCTGAGGCTGAGGCTGACGCAGGCTGAGGCCGAGGCAGGCTGAGACTGAGGCTGAGGCAGGCTGAGGCTGAGGCAGGCTGAGACTGAGGCTGAGGCAGGCTGAGGCTGAGGCTGAGGCTGAGGCTGATGCAGGCTGAGGCTGAGGAGGCTGACGCTGAGGCTGAGGCAGGCTCAGGCTGAGGCTGAGGCCGAGGCAGGCTGAGGCTGAGGCTAAGGCAAGCCGAGGCAGGCTGAGGCTGAGGCTGAGGCTGAGGCTGAGGCTGAGGCAGGCTGAGGCTGAGGCTGAGGCTGAGGCTGAGGCTGAGGCTGATGCAGGCTGCGGCTCAGGCAGGCTGAGGCTGAGGCTGATGCAGGCTGAGGCTGAGGCAGGCTGAGGCTGAGGCTGAGGCAGGCTGAGGCTGAGGCTGAGGCCGAGGCAGGCTGAGGCTGAGGCCGAGGCAAGCCGAGGCATGCTGAGGCTGAGGCTGATGCTGAGGCAGGCTGAGGCTGAGACATGCTGAGGCTGAGGCTGAGGCTGAGGCAGGCTGAGGCTGAGGCAGGCTGAGGCTGAGGCCGAGGCAGGCTCAGGCCGAGACAGGCTGAGGCTGAGACTGAGGCTGAGGCTGAGGATGAGGCCGAGGCAGGCCGAAGCTGAGACAAGGTGAGGCTGAATGGGGGGGGGGAGGGGGGGGGAGGGGGGAGGCTGAGGCAGGCTGAGGCCGAGGCAGGCTGAGGCCGAGGCAGGCTGAGGCTGAGGCTGAGGCTGAGGCTGAGGCAGGCTGAGGCTGAGGCAGGCTGAGGCTGAGGCTGACGCAGGCTGAGGCCGAGGCAGGCTGAGGCTGAGGCTGAGGCAGGCTGAGGCTGAGGCCGAGGCAGGCTGAGGCAGAGGCTGAGGCTGAGGCTGAGGCTGAAACTGAGGCAGGCTGAGGCATCCGGAGGAATCCATCCCTAGGAATCCTTAGGAATCCGTAGGAATCCATAGGAATCCGTAGGCAGGAAGGAATCCGTAGGCATCCTTAGGAATCCTTAGGAATCCTTAGGATTCCCTAGGAATCCTTAGGAATCCCCAATCCCCCTAGGAATCCTTAGGAATCCCTAGGAATCAGGATTCCTAAGGATTCCGAAGGTTTCCTAAGGATTCCTATGGATTCCTAAGGATGCCTAAGGATGCCTTAGGAATCCCTAGGAATCCTTAGGATTCCATTGGATCCTAAGGCCGTTGCCACTGCGACTGTCATTGCGAATGCGACTGCGACTGCGAGAACAACAGAATTCTACAACTGGATTCTCACCTGAATCTTAAGGGGAATGCTTCCAGATATGCTTATACACATCGCTGTTAAGTTGCTTTGCCGGGATAATTCCCAAAAAACTCCCCCTGGGGTTCCGGCCCGTCCCGCCGGCCACCCGGAAAGGTGCTCAATCCGGAAAACAATCCTCCAAGATGGCTCAAGATGGTGCCACGATGGCCACGTTGGCCCAAGATGGCCTCCAAGATGGTCCAAGATGGCCTCCACGTCCGCCCAAGATGGTCCAAGACGGCCTCCAAGACGGCCCACGAGAGTCCAAGACGGCCCAAGACGGCCCAAGCGGCCCCCCAGAGGCCTCCCAGACGGCCCCAGAGGCCTCCAAGAGGTCCTCCAGGAGGGCCCGAAGAGGCCAAAATTATTGATTTTCCTAAGGTTTTCGAAGGATTTTGGCAATTGCTTCTTCTCGGCATTCCGACGGCTCAAGACGGCCCAAGAGGCCCCCAAGATCGTCCAAGAGGCCCCCAATAGGGCCCTATGACGGCCCAAGTGGCCTCCAAGACAGCCCCAAGAGGGCCCCAAGACGGCCCAAGAGGCCTCCAACACGCCCAAGATGGCCTCCGAGACGCCCAAGATGGCCTCCAAGACGGCCCCGAAGCGCCCCAAGAGGGCCCCCAGTCGTCCCAGAAAGGCCCCCAAGACGGCTACCGACGGCGTCAGACGTGCCAGGAACCCACCAAGATGGTCGAAGTTGGCTCGAAGCTGGCCCAAGACGGCCCAAGAGGCCCCCAAGAGGGCCGCCAGGAAGGACAGAAGAGGCCAAAAACATTGATTTTCATTTGGTTTTTGACGGATGTTGACATTCTCTTCTTTTCGGCCTTGCGACGGCCCGATACGGCCCAAGAGCCCCCAAAGATCGCCCAAAGATCGCCCAAGAGGCCTCCAAAATGGCCCCAGAACGGCCCAAGAGGGCCCCAAGACGGCCCCAAGAGGGCACAAAGACGGCCCCAAGAGGCCTCCAAGACACCCAAGATGGCCTCCAAGAAGGCCCTGCAGCGTTCCAAGAGGGCCCCAAGTCGGCCCATAGAGGCCCCCCCAACGGCTTCCGACGGCGCCAGACGGACCAGGAGCCCACCAAGACGGCCGAACATGGCCCTAAGATGGCCCAAGACGGCCCAAAAGGCCTCCAAGAGAGCCTCCAGGAAGGCCCGAAAAGGCCAAAATTAGTGATTTCCCATGGGTTTTGAAGGATTGTGACCTTTGCTTTTTTCTGCCTTCCGACGGCCCGAGGCGGCCCAAGTGCCCCCAAGACACGGCCCAAAGAGGCCCCCAAGACGGCCCAAGAGGTCTCCAAGACGCTCAAGATGGCCTCCAAGACGGTCCAAGAGCCCTCCAAGACGTCCTCCAAGAAGGCCCGAAAGGGTCAAAATGGCCTCCCGACGGCCAAGGTGACCTTCAAGATGCCCACGTGTTGTTCCCCGAAGGCTTTCCAAACCGATTCGGGGAACACATGGTCCGATAGCTTGGCAGGTCTGGCCTCAACGTTCGGCCACATAGGCGCTTCCAAAAATTCGCCTCTAGGCAGGCAGGGGTGCCTGGCGTGCTAGATCCTCTCGGTTTTGGTTTTGGTTCTTTTTCCAGAAGAACTCCCCCTGGGGCTCCGGCCCGTCCCGCCGGCCACCGGGAAGGCGCTCAGTTCCCCAATGTCCTGCCCAAGACGGCTCCATGATGGCCCCAAGACGGCACAGGAGACTTGTAAGACGCCCAAGATGGCCTCCAAGACGGTCCTGGAGCATTCCAAGAGGGCCTCAAGTCGGCCCCCCAAACGGGTTCCGACGGCGTCAGACGGACCAGGAGCCCACCAAGACGGCCGAACATGGCCCTAAGATGGCCCAAGACGGCCCAAGAGGCCTCCAAGAGGGCCGCCAGGAATGCCCGATAAGGCCAAAATCATTGATTTCCCATTGGTTTTGGAAGGATTGTGGCATTTCCTTTTTTCCTGCCTTCCGACGGCCCGAGACGGCCCAAGTGCCCCCAAAGATCGCTCAAGAGACCCAAAACACTGCCCAAAGAGGCCCCCAAGACGGCCCAAAAGGCCTCCAAGGCGCTCAAGATAGCCTCCAAGACGGTCCAAGAGCCCTCCAAGACGTCCTCCAAGAAGGCCCGAAAAGGGTCAAAATGGCCTCCCGACTGCCAAGATGACCTTCAAGATGCCCACGTGTTGTTCCCCGAAGGCTTTCCAAACCGATTCGGGGAACACATGGTCCGATAGCTTTGCAGATCTGGCCTCAACGTTCGGCCACATAGGCGCTTCCAAAAAGGCAGGGGGCGGCGGTGATTCGCCGTAGGGGTCTTCGATCCGCCGCCCCCTGTCGATTCATCGCAGGGGTGCCTGGCGTGCTGGATCCTATCGGTTTTGGTTTTGGTTCTTTTTCCAACAGAACTCTCCCAATGGGTTTCGGCCCGTCCCGCCACCGTGCCGTTCGCTCGGGACATCATCAAAAAATCGCAACGTGCACAAAACATCCTCCCCAAAACGGCAGTTTCGCTTAGGACATCCTCAACAAATCGCGAACGTGCACAACACATCCTCCCAAAAACGGCCGTTTCGCTCGGGACATCCTCAACAAATCGCGAAGATGGCCCAAGATGGCCTCCAAGTCCGCCCAAGATGGTCCAAGACGGCCCCCAAGACGGCCAAGAGAGTCCAAGACGGCCCAAGAGGCCCCCCAGAGGCCTCCAATACTGCCCAAGCGGCCTGCAAGAGGTCCTCCAGGAGGGCCCGAAAAGGCCCAAATCATTGATTTCCCATGTGTTTTTGAAGGATTTTGGAATTTGCTTCTTCTCGGCATTCCGACGGCTAAAGACGGC